TTCAAGTGTTGAAAATGTATTTATTTTTATTTATATTCTTTAGTTATATAAATAAAAAATATTCTTTAGTTATATAAATAAAAATAAATATATTTCCATCACTTGAAAATTCATTCGGCATGAAACTCGGAGTTGTGCAATTAATATAAGATATGTATATTTTTAATATATATATATATATATATATATATATATATATATATATATGTGTGTGTGTGTGTGTGTGTGTGTGTGAGTGCTTTCTGTTCAACAGTTGAATCCTGAGAGAAATATAAATATATTTAGGGTTATCGATTGTTTGTTCGATGTGGAAATTTAATTTTATGATTGATCTGTGTGTATCAGTCGACCAACAAAAAGAATTATAAATATGTTTATGACTGCAGGCATTTTACCTCTTAAATTTAAGTAGTTTTTTTAAACATAATTTGGTAGATGAAATATTTAAATATGGTGCTTTTAGGGAAATACTTAAATAACATTAAAAAATATTCTAATGCAGTGGCTTCAAAGGAAAAGAGCATCATTAAATAAAGTCAATTAATGTCACAAACGGCAGAGAGAACGCCTATTATGTCACACACACACACACACACACAAAGCATATACACTCACACATACAGACAAACCGGTAGATCGAGTAAGAGGTGGATTCGTATGTAATTATATGTATCTGTAAATAATAGTTAAAATAAGCACACACACACACACACACACACACACACACACACACACACACACACACATATATATATATATATATATATTATTTGGTAATCCGTATGGATAATTCCAAAGAGGATATAGATCCAGAGAGATCAATGTAATAAAGCAAATAAATTGATTTTATTTCGTTAAAACCGATACAATATATACTATACTAATAGTCTCCCGTTTTCATAATATATATATATATATATATATATATATATATATATATATATATATATATATATATATATATGTGTGTGTGTGTGTGTGTGTGTGTGTGTGTGTGTGTGTATTGATAAGTATATTTAGTATTCAGTCAAAAAGTTTTGATTAAAAAGTACCAACAAGGTCTGTCTGTTTAATATTATATTTTATTTTTCAATTTTCCAATGTATTCTGTATTGGGATCGAAATTGTGGATAAACTGTTCTAAGTTAATTTCTGTTTTGTTATTTGTTCATGTAACTTCGACTTTCAAAGTCATTTTCAAGAACCCTGTGTTGTTTGAATGCTAGGCAAAATTCCTTTATCTATATGCTGGTATTTTGGGGACGGTGACGTCATGTGTTACGCTTATTGGGATTGGTGCAGCACCACAAAGCATGTTTTTTTAAACATATATATGTATGAAAACCATTTGAACACAAGGGGTGTTACTGGGTGTTGAAGAATTAGAAATCAAGGACACCACTAAGGAGCGAGTACTGAAGAAAAGTATCCAGGAGGGCGGTTGATAGCCATTGGCATTGCGTTTAAATTTTTGCTGTTTAAAGTTGACCGGAAATCATTGAACCGGAAGGAAGTTCCACAAGCGAGAAGCGCGAGAAAATAAACTTCGGTAACATCTAGCCAGGTCAATGTAAATTGATGAGACCTCATCGCTAATGTAGTACTGAGCTTATATTCATAAAGTCTACGTCCCATAGCGAAAATTTCATCCAAACAAATATGATGAAAGTATTTAAGGCACAGGGAGGCAAATTTATGGCGGAGGGTAAGTCACTGAAGCCGAGATGCAAGATCAGGACCAATGATATTGCTGATTCTTTTGGGGATTTTATCAAAGAGCTCTAGATATATAGCAGAGGCACCGGACCATATATAGCAACAATAATCTAGGCGTGGACGAATGGTAGACTTATAGATATGCAAGATAGATTCTGGAAATAAAAAAAGTCTAGCACGACACAATGAACCAACTTTTTTTTTAGCAGGCGACCTAGCAATGAATTCAATATAGTCTTTCAATTTTATGCCAACCGAGAACGTTAGCCCAACGAGTCAATCTCCTGGAGGTTAGCATCAGCCATGCTGATGGAAGGCAGAAAAGAGTCTCCTGTGAGCAGCTTAGTTTTGGAGGCGTTAAAAATAACCCTTTATCACAGTCAACAACAGACTGAAGGTCGTTTTTGGCATCAGCCGCCATTTTGATCTTATCGAACTGATCAGATTTACTATCGAGACAGGAGTAAATTGTTGTGTCATAAGCGTAGATACCAAATTGAGAGCTGATTTTATCGGGAAGGTCATTAATGAAAATTAAAAACAAAGTAGGACCAAGTATGGATCCCTGGCCGACCCCTGCATTAGTAGAATGGGATCTAGAAGAATGGCCATTCAGGATAATTTTCATTTCACGATTTGATAAGAAAGGCGGGATCAGTTCAAAAATTTGTCTGGAGACACCATAACTTTTCAACTTGTGAAGAAGAGCAGTATACCGGACTTTGTCGAACACTTTCGAGATATCCAAATCGACAACCCGATCTTCATTATTCTTATAAAATCTTAACTATTTCAACATTGATTAGTTTACCAAGACATAGTAAAAGGTTTATAGGCTGATATTTGGAAGGGTCGGGGGGTTCAGCTGAGTTATTAAAGACCGAAACAACAGATGAGGATTCAAGAGGAATCAAGAGTTGAATTCAATGAGAATTTACATTCCACTTTATCAGCAGCAGATGTTAACACCTCAAATTGCTTAATGAGAAGAGGAATAGAAGACTTACTCTTATTTAATACACTATTACAGTTATCGTTAAAGCCAAATTTTTCTTGTTTGAAAAAAGTCCCTGAGTTGTGAGATGCTTAGCCAATTCAGCATTGGTAAGGGCCTGTAATAATTTTACAAAAAGAGTTTAGAAATCTAATAGGCTGATATTTGGAAGGGTCAGACGGTTCACTTGAGTCTTTAAAAACCGGAACAACAAATGAGGATTTACGACAAGCAGAAAAGCAAGAGGCAGCCAGGTATTTATTGTACAGTTTAGACGGACCAAGAGCCATTTCAGAAGCACATTCTTACTGACTATTACAAGGATACAATCAGGTCGATATGCTTTGTGGGGATCCAGATTAGAGATGATAACAGAAAAACATAGAAGGGCTTATATACCTATCACACAACAGACACTCAGTTCTAAGTGACAAAGTTAGGCAAGGATACTCCAGATGAGTCAATAGTAGAGTTTAGAGAGAATAGGGGCCATTTTAGAAGCACACTTCTTAATAACTATTACAGGCATACCATTAGGTCGACATGCTTTGTGGGGATCCAGATTAGAGATGATAACAGAAAACCTAGAAGATTCAGTTGTAAGTGAAAAGTTAAGCAAGGATACTCCAGATGAGTCAAAAGTAGAATTCAAGGAAAACTTACATTCAGCTTTATCAACAGCAGATGTTAACACCTCAAATTGGTTAATCAGAAGAGGAATAGAAGACTTACTCTTATTTAATACACTATTACAGTTATCGTTAGAGCCAAATTTGTTAGATACAATACGGTGCCTCATTTTCTCAAAAGTAAAAGAGACTTGGCTACTTCGAGAACATGTTTACATTTATTATGTGAAACCCGCCCGTTGTGATTGGAGCTGTCACGCTGGAATAGCTGGAAATAGTGGTTCCTCTGTACTATAGCGGCAGAACATGCTGGCGTGAACGATGAAGAAGACTGAGGTTTCACCTGGTTATTCTGAGAAGGATTGAAAGCATTCATGCTGACATTGAGCCAAAAGGAAAACTCAGTGGCGCAATTCTTAATTTGAAGGTTAAAAATGTCAGTCCAAGGGGCGTCTTGAAGAAAGTCACAGATTGAGCCCCAATCAGCATGCTGGTACCGGAAAGAGGTTTTATGAATAGAAGGTTTCTGTTTAATATATGAATGGAATGAAATAACAATAGATACTACAGAATGATCCGACTTTCCAAGAGGACAATGTTGTGAAGCTTGGTAAAAGCGAGGCGAGGAGGTAATAAAATCAAGTAGAGAAGCTTGTTGTTTGGATTTGCAAGGGAAACAAATAGAAAAATCCTTGATTTGAGTAAGAGAAAAATTAAAAGTCTGAGTACTGCTAACATCGGTAACATTAGAATGTTTAAGTCACGTGTTGTGATGAGCATTAAAATCAAGGAACACAAAGATCTTCGCACATGAATGGAGAGAGAGTGCTGTTTCTATACTACTAGAGATTAAGTCTAATATCCTGCAGTCCTGTGAAGAGGGGGAGCGAAAAGGAAAACGAGATGGCTAACAGAATTTAATAATGAAGGTCGAAAAAAAAAAAACATGAAAGAGTCATCTGGAGATTCAAGTGGCAATTCTTTTCCCCATTAGAAGATAATCCCGGGGGTAAACACCAAGGGCATGCATGTGAATGTTGGAATCTTTTCAGAAGAGGGAAAATAAGAATTTAAATTGATTTCTCAAAGTGCATATATATCCGATGACCGTTCCAAGATACTTTACAAATTCAAATTTGCCAAAAAAAAAAAAAAAAAAAAAAAAGAACGGCTGAATTTAGCGAGTGTTCAATATAATTGTCAAAAAAAACGAAACTGTAGGGCAATTTAAGATTTGGAGCACCGACATTTCTGCTACTAAAATGGTTTTATCATACAGTAAGTCTCTCTAAGAGAGAGCGTCTATATACTACCAAAATGATGACATAAATATCGCGGTTTCAAATATTTTATAACACACACACACACGTTAATTGACAAGAGATCCAGGCCGCTATTCATTTTGATATCGCTCAATATCTGCGTCCAGTTTCGCCTACGGCTTTTATTCAAGTGATGGTCGTCACGTGACCAACATGGCCACCGGATATGCGTGCTCCTCCGTTCCTAGGATCCAGGCTTTCAACTCGTCATCCCCACCTCTCATCCATCAATCGAGGTTCACGGTTTCCATGCTAATCGATCAGCTTGCTTTTCCTTTCGTATTATATGATTTTTGTGATTCTCGGTCATATTGTCTTGTTTTATTGTTAATTTTCTTTTTATTTGTGGAAGAAGCAGAGAGAAAAAAAAAGAAAGAAATTTTTAGAGAAGAGGCGGTGAGAGAGAAAGACTAAAGAGAAAAGGTAGTGGGGAGAATGAAACAATCGAAAGAGAGAATGGAAATGGAAAAGAGAATGCAGAAGAAGAAATTGAGGTGAAGCAGAAGAAAAAAAAGGTAATGTATGTGACAGTGTCCGGGATAAGGTGAATGGAATGGAGTTGAAATGGTATTGGGGGTAAGGGCTGTGCAAATGGTTTTGTTAAGAGGAATGTCGGGATTAGAGTGTTTGCAGACACGGTCTAGTTCCTATGACTTTAATCTGACTACAAAATGGTACGACTGATTTAGAGACGGTTAAGAGAGAACCGCTAAAAGATAACGCGAGAGAGAGAGAGAGAGAGAGAGATGACGACGAGAATGGGGAGACAAGATGTAGATAATGCAGATAGAGAGAGAGACAAGATGTAGATAACGAGAGAGAGAGAGAAGTACGAGGGATAAGGAGAAGAAATATTGATTCTATATTGGGAGAGATAGAATGAGAAAGACATGGGAAGAGAAGTGGCTTAGAATAATCGCGAGCAAATCTACAGATTATAATGACATCCACCCACACTGGGTCAATTTGCCAAACTAACCCAACCTTAGTAAATATTTGTTAATAGTTAATATAATGTTTATTAATACTTTACCATAATGGATCCAGTTGAGATATGTCTGTTTGTGAGTGTCTTGAGGCCTGTAGTGAACAAAACATGATCTAGAATTAAAATTCAAATGCTAAGCACTGACTCATTGATTTTGTTAGAAATTAAAAAGACTCGAATTTACAAACTTAATACACACGCAAAAGCGAATCCAAAACAAAACACGTGAAATTTCACACCTTGATGCGAAATGTTTTTCGGCCAATAGAAAACTAGAAAATATTTAAAAACAAAATTCAAATAATCTTCAGTTCTCAGAAACATATTCTTTTACGGACATTTTCGCGAGCCGACGCGAAGTTTGATCGTCGTCCAATGGAAAGGCTCGAATCATATCCAGCAGTGAATTCCCAAATGACCTTTTCAAGTCCCACAAACAAAAATAAAAGACGGGCAACTTCGCCTGTCACCAGAGAGAAGGAGACGAGCGTATTAACACGTCCCTTGACAAGCGTCAATCGATCGTTATTATTATCTCTACTTTTCTCCCTTACCTCTTTTATACTTGATAAAAGAACGGAACATTTTAAGACTGGGCGATTACTTCAAAGACATACCCTTGTATTAACCAAAATACATTAATTTAATTTGAAAAGACTTTAGTTGATTTATATGTATATAAATTTGTTTCACTTTACAATTCGATTTTCTTGTTTTATACCCCTCTTATGTTGGGCTATCTAACTAACAAGGCCAAATCAAACTAATTTGTTTCCACACTCATACTCCACTATAACCGATAACCCACAATAGGACCACAAAACCTAAACATTAATCTGGCACCAGACCTGTTCCAAAATATCTAAATCTGTATATAAACGCGTTCTAAGTTCAATGGTTAAAATGCCTGTGGATCTTGGCGAAGACAACACTTCTACGGACCTTGTGGTCTCGTGCTACAGAATCATAAAGAACAGTGTCAAATAACAGAAACAACATCAGTTTAGGACTTTCAACAAGTGTAACAATTAAAATGGATATCAAATGTGACGGAGAGCAGGAAATAATATAATAAAGATGTCAGCATTCCACACAACTCCAAAGAAAATGTTAAGAAAACATCGTATCAATACTGGAAAGATCGATAACAGTTACTGGACTTGAGAAACATTTTCCTAAAAATTAGTTTTGAGAGAAAGATTTTATAAACTCCAAACGAAAGCAGCTCTGGCTGCTCTTTCAATGAAACCCGAATATTTCCTTATAGGGAAACGGCTAATAATGCCATTAACATTTAGTGAAAGACTGAAGAGATTAAAGAAAGTGGTTCTCCGACGGAGACGAGTGAAAGACTGAAGAGATTAAAGCAAGTGGTTCGCCGACAGAGACGAGTGAAAGACTGAAGAGATTAATGAAAGTGGTTCGCCGACAGAGACGAGTGAAAGACTGAAGAGATTAATGAAAGTGGTTCGGCGACGGAGACGAGGAAAGACTGAAGAGATTAAAGAAACGGAATGAAAAGAACTGAAGAGATTAAAGAAAGTGGTTCGCCGACAGAGACGAGTGAAAGACTGAAGAGATTAATGAAAGTGGTTCGGCGACGGAGACGAGTGAAAGACTGAAGAGATTAATGAAAGTGGTTCGTCGACAGAGACGAGTGAAAGACTGAAGAGATTAATGAAAGTGGTTCGTCGACAGGGACGAGTGAAAGACTGAAGAGATTAATGAAAGTGGTTCGTCGACAGGGACGAGTGAAAGACTGAACAGATTAAATAAAAAAGTTCGCCGACAGAGACGAGTGGTACTAGACAGATTGAAGATATATTGGATTCTTATACATCGAAATCGACGAGAGAATCCATTTCATACATACCGGCTGCAAATTGACTTCGACTAATGCTATCGCAGAAATATAAGACGACTAGTTTGTCCTTTTACTCCTAAAGGTCTTAAAGAGTGGCACTGAAATCCGAAGTCGTATTGGGATAGTTAAGGAAGAATTTAAAAAGCTAAGCAGCATACGAGGAAATATGATAATTTCGCTACGAAATCTACTTCTATATGGAACTATGTGCTGGATGATCTCATCAAAGATGATGATGTGACTTGAAGCAACAAAAATGTCGTTATACAGAAGGATGCTGAGGATATCGTGGACCAAACATTTGAATAACGACGATGTTTTGGAGAAAATGGAAGCAAAAATTAATACAGGAAGATACAGTTGGGAGTTCTGAGGCAAATAATGAGGATGGAGGGCTTGGAAAAATTGATACCCACGAGACAGATTAAAGGCAAGAGGGGTAGAGGAAACCAACGCACGACATACTCAATGAGATTGAGTAAATGTTTGGCAGAACAGGGATTAGTAGAAATAACAAAGACATAGTTTATTAAAAGGTATAAGGGACAGGAAGTTATGGAGAGCCATGATCGCCTATGTCCTGAGAGGACACGGCACATAAAGAAGAAAATGGTTTTGCATTCATTTTGCGCAGACGTGGCAACGATGTAGTCAATGACTTTCTCTCTAGTGGCGTCTTGATGACTTTGAGGTAGACGATATTCAGTCTTACCACGGGGCGTCATGTGGCACTGCGTGACGGTTTAACGTGGGATCTCCGAGCCCGTAGGTCGACCAAATGCCCCATTGAACCCGTAAACGGCTTCAGGGTCGGTTTACCTCCCCCCGAGAGACTCGCCCTTCCGGCGTAGCCTCGTTCGGGTTCATCCCCGCCCGAAGGCAGAGAGTTCAACCGAACAGCCGGTCAGGAGGTGAACGACTGACTTTTGAGCTAGACGTAACCACATTCATTACACATATATTATAGATATAATATTTGAGTCCAAAAGTCTTTCAGAGCTCTTGTGGGTAACGAATTATTTTCCACCCTTCAACGTCTCTCCAACAGGCGGGATAAGGCAAGCGTCTCGCAAGTTTCTATCGCTACTTCGATGGAAAGTACTCGAACGAACTGCATTCCTTGGTTCCACCAGTTCAAACCTTCACAGCTAGGACTCGCCATGCCACTAAAATAGTAGCAAACCATCTACATTTCCTCCTCATTCCATATATTGATGCTTGTGTGTGTGTGTGTTTTTTTTAAATTATCGGCAGGTACAATGAACAATCTAAAGTAGAAGCATAAACAGCGCGGAGAACTGACTGAAATAAAATGTTTTTAAAAGAAATTTATATTGTTTATTTGTATTAAAATTAGTTAATAACTTACACGAGTGAGTACTGAAAAGTTTTCGGCACAACAAAGATATATTTATTACAATATATTCTTTTAAACTTTCTATGACCTTACGCCAACGTCCCGGAAGTTTGCGAATTCCATCTTGACAAAACGATTCTGTCTTCTACAAGGTGGAGCCTGAAAAGTTCATCGGCCGATTATGAAGGTGTGATGCTAGAGTTGTGAAATCCCACATACATTAATTTCGACTCTTTTTATTAATAACTGCATTGTTTCTCAAGGACACATGCCACAGTGGATAAAGGCGTTAGTTAGATCTAGTGACAGGACCCAAAGGGTGTGAGTTTAATATCCGGTTAAGGCAGTTGAGAAGTTGGAGAGGGGAATTAACAGGAGATAACTGATAACTGACACCCATTAAACATGGCACGTGGAACTAGAACAGTCTACCTCAGTGAGCGAAATAAAGGGTTCAGTTCGACATTCTAACCACCTGAAGAAGGGCGGAGCATACAAAGGCCGAGACGTTGTAATAAATATGGCGACAAAGATGAGGACAACAGTCCGAATAATATGAATAGTGTACATAATACCTCATCTAAGAAATATAGACAGATAGTGTGGGCTGAAAAGTTCATAGGCTGACTAGGAACGAATGATGTTAGAGTTGCGAAATCCTGCATATATTAATTTAAAACTCTTCTTATCAATAAATGTATTGTTTCTTCCAGGTAACATGACACCTGAACGTTCAAAGAAGACTTCACAAATAATTAGCCACGAACACTCTTGGAAATGGACAAAAATATGTCATCGAGGTGTTAGCAAGTACCTGCAGAAAAAGGGTTTAGCCCTCAAGGATATTCATACTGACATGATTGTTACATTAGGGGATGATGCTCCAATTTATAAACAGTTCAAAAGTGGGCAGCTCAGTTTAGAAGGGTATGGGAGAGTTTTGATGTTGACCTAAAATCTAGACACCTTGTAACGACGAGCACCGAAGAAAACAGTGATTGTATTCGCTACATCGTCATGGATGACAGACGATTGACTATAAATCAAATAGTCAATGCTATTAGTGAATATTCTCAAGTTTCGTGAGAGAGTTGAGAATATTCTGCACAATGAACTTGGCATGACGAAGGTTTCCGCTCGGTGGGTGACACGTCTTCTGACACCTGATCAAAAGCGCACCAGGCTGATCACATGACGGAAAAATCTAACACTGAGACAGATCAAGCTGCTTTCCTTGAATGTTTCCTAATTCAAGATGAGCATTGAGTTCATTACATTCAGCCAGAGACAGAGAGATAAATCATGCAGTGGGAACACATCTCTTGACCTGCACCAAAAAAAAAATGTCAATCTCATTTCATCTACAGGGAAGTTGATGGCCTCAAGGCATTGTTTTTATTGATTATCTTCAAAAGGGGTCACATCATCAATAGAGATTCCTATGCCATCTTGCTGAGACAGTTACGAAAAGCTGTCAAGACCGAAAATGAAAACAGACGAAAGGGAGTTATATTTAATAAGGACAATGCTCCAGCGCACAAGTCCTTGGTTTGAATGGCTGCAGTACATGAGTGCTACAAAGACTATTTTTTGTGAACGTGTCTTTGAACTGGTTGATCAATCTTCCAATTCTCTTGATTTGTTTCCATCTACTATCATCTGTTCCCCGACACGAAAAAAAACCCTTGGCTGCGAACCAGAAGCGCAGTGATGATGACGTCATAACTGCTGCTGATGACATTTTTTGATTAACAGTGTGAAAGCTGCTTCACCAATGGGGTCCAAGTATGTAAAACGCAAGAGGAACTCTGTTGAAAAATAAACCTTAAAAATGCCCAGGGAAACTGATGAAAGGGAGTTATGTTTAATAAGGACAATGCTCCAGCACATAATTCTTTGGTTAGAATGGCTGCTATACATGAGTGTCACTTTGAACTGGTTGATCCCCCACCCTATTCTTGTCTGGGGAACAGTATCGAAGAGATGGTGACATCATATCTGCTGCTGATGACCTTTTTGACCAACTTCTTCACCAATTGGATACAAGTACTGCAACACTGATGAAAGTGCATGGACTTCAAAGGGGACTAAACTGAAATATTGTTTGAGGGAGATCCAGCTGCACATTTTCTTGCACGTTTCTTAAGCCAGGCTGACTTTTGGAATCATTACTTTGAGCCAGAGACAAATAGATAATTTATGAAGTAGAAACACCCCTCGACACTTTCTTCAAAGAGATCCAAGGTCATTTCCTTTGCAAGGAACTTGATGGCCGTAGTTTTCTATGCAAAAGGCATTTTGTTTATTGACAATGTTCAAAATGGTCCCGCCATCAATGGAGAGTACTATGCCAACATGATTAAGCAGTAAGGCTATCAAGACCACATGCCTAGGGAAAGTGATGAAAGCGGTCTTGTTTCAAAAGGAGAATTCTCTTGCACACAATTCTGTGGTTTTCAAAGACTATTTTTTGTGACCGTGTCTTTGAACAGGTTGATCAACCATCCAATTCTCTTAATTTGTTTCCATCTCACTATAATCTGTTCTCCGACACGAAAAAAAACCCCACTTGACTAGTAACCAGTAATGCAGTGATGATGACGTCATATCTGCTGTTGATGACTTTTTTGACCAACAGGATGAACAGTCTCCTTTAAACAGTGAAATGTCAGATTACCTCGAAAGAAAAAATGCAGTCATCTACTTCAAGGAAAATTGATTCGCTGTGTCGCGTCAGAATGTTTTTCTCGTCTGAGTCTGTCCTTCAAATGGACTGGAAAACTGACGAAAGATGTTTTGTTTCGCCGTGACAGTGCTCCCACACACAACTCCTTGGTATCAATAGCTGCCTTGCATGACTGTGGCTTTGAAATGGTTGATCACCCACTCTACTTGGTTACTATCTGTTCTCCAACATGAAAAAAACATTTGGCTGGGAACCAGTATCATAGTGATATCATATCTGCTGGCGTTGTCTTTTTTGAGGAACAGGATGAACAGTGCCCTTTATACTGTCGGATGTCAGTTGTTGAGGCAGTTATGAAAGTATATCCAAACCAAACCTCAGGGAAACTTATGGAAGAGGTCTTGTTTCATCTTGCTTTAAAACACAAGTCCTTGGTTTTAATGACTGCTATGTGTGACAGTGGCTTTGAACTGCTTGATCACCGACCCTATTCTCCCGATTTGACCCTTCCCCATCTGATTCTCATCTGTTCCCTAACAAGAAAAAAAAAAACAGTGATGGTGACATCTGCTGTTGATGACATTTTTCACGAACACGATTAACAGTCTTCTTTGAATCGTTAGATGACAGATTACCTCAAAAGAAAAAATGCAGTCATCTACTTCAAGGAAAATTGGTTCTCTGTGTCGCGTCAGAAGGTTTTTCTAGTCTGAGTCCATCCTTCAAATCTACAAATCAACCAATCGTCCTTGCATTGAATAATGTTGCCATATACGGTCTGGTGCCTCTGCTGACATCTTGAAGTCCTCGATAAAATCCAAAGACAGATATGCAAAGTGATAAGTCCTGATCTGATATCTTGTCTACAGCCACTTCCTCACAGACATGATGTGGCTTCTCTCTGTCTTTTCTACAAAAATTTTCATAGCAGTTGCTTTGAGGAGCAACTTTCACTGGTACCCCAACTGCATGAATTTAAGCGTGATACTAGGTTGGCATTTCGGTCCCACCCTTTCACTGTCGAAACAGTTAAATGTAACCGCCTCTTCTACTCCAACAGCTTCTCTCGCACTTCCCAACAGTGAAACTCCCTTCCTCTTACTTGCTTCCTTTATAACTATAATTTTCAAATATTCAAATGTAATGCCAATAGACGTCCTTCTTTATATCCTTTTCTTAAACACGCCTCTTTACTCTTACTCTCTGTAACCCCTTGCATGCTAGTGGCACTCATGCCTTGCTTGGGGTGAATTGCTTAAAAATAAGTTATTAATTAATAAGAAGAGATTAAATTAATGCAGGCAATGTTTCACAGATCTAGCACCCCTCCTTCATAGTCAGCCTATGAAAAATGTCAGCCCATCTTCGTCCCTAGAAAGAAACAGTGCAGTTATTAATAAGAAGAGATGAAATTAATACATGGAAGATTTCATAGCTACATAATAAAATTTTCAATGAAATTTTAAACATGAGAGTCATTTTAAAATTTTGGGACTAATAAGAATGCTGCACTGATTGCAAGAAATGATTATCCGATTGCGCTAAGTCTGTTGAATATGCCGCATAAATAAGTTGCCATCTTAATTTTTTTATGGAGCAACCATGGCAACGCTCATCCCAATGAAAACCGTTGTCATGAAACAAGATGATGCGCCACCTTCTCTCTCCTGTAAATGGCCTTTTGTTTTCTTCAATTGCACCATTCAATCCTCAAAGCTAACAACTATAATGTTCTTCAGGAATCGTTTTACGAGGTTTTAGCAGTTTGTAATATATTATACCTTTAATATTCAACCAAACACAACAGGGCAATAACTTCTTTTAAAAAGATTTCAATTTTTACCATTGATGCTATAGGTTTTATTTTATACACACATGATTTCCAATGTTTCAGATTATTGCAATGAACTGGATTTTCATCTTTAGAGATAATATTCCATAGAAAAGAATTAAAGAAAAATATTTGATAAGAATTGAAATGTCGATGGTGATAGACTCTCTTCCATTCTGACAATCTATGTGGAACTAATTTTCTTCTCCATATTTTACAAAGGATGTACAACTGATGAAGAAGACATTTTTTCAGCCAATTTCTATACTGACTGAGTGAAATCATCATCCCAAAGAATTCAAATTCTTGTGACCTACTGCTACATGATTTCCTTTTTGACAAACTCACATTTTTTGAATTTCAAGACATTTCACTGCTTACAACCGTTTCCATGGACTAACATTCCTCTTTGATTTCATACTGACTTAACCAATTTGAAAAGGAACAACATGCAATATTTCACGCGTACATTGTTAGCCGACATTTTCTTTTCTTTTCTTCTCAGCACTGAATAGAGATCATTCAAAAACAGTTTTTTCAATTGTGTCTCCATCATCTGGTTTTTCAAAGAAAAGCGCACTAGTAACTGTTTCAAACATCACCTAGATAAATAGGAAAAACAAGAACAAACTGCAAGAGAGAGAGAGAGAGAGAGAGAGAGAGAGAGGGGGGAGAGAGAGAGAAAGGGAAATAGAGAGAGACTAGAAAAGGAGAGAGAGAAATATAGGAGAGACAGATGAAAAATAAGAAAAAAAAGTGTAGAACAATTTTGAAAAGAATGAGAGAAATGTTAGAAGAAAAGTTAAAAGAAGAAGAAGAAGAAGAAGAAGAAGAAGAAGAAGAAGAAGAAGAAGAAGAATGTTAGAAGGAGAAAAAGAAGAACGTTAAAAAAAGAAGTATGTTAGGAGGAGGAGGAGGAGGAGAAGAAGAAGAAGAAGAAGAAGAAGAAGAAGAAGAGGAAGAATGTTAGAAGGAGAAAAAGAAGAATAAGAATGTTAGAAGAAGAAGATGAAGATGAAGATGAAGAAGAAGAAGAAGAAGAATGTTAGAAGAAGAAAAAAAGATGTTAAAAAAAAGAAGAATTATGTTAGGAGGAGGAAAAGGAGGAGGAGGAGGAGAGAAGAAGAAGAAGAAGAAGAAGAAGAAGAAGAAGAAGAAGAAGAAGAAGAAAGTTAGGAGAAGAAAGAAGAACGCTACAAAGAGAAGAAGAACAAGAAGCTAAAGAAAAGTGTACTTAAAAAAAGAAGTATGTTAAGAGAAAAGGAGGAGGAGGAGGATGAGAAGAAGAAGGCATGGCAAGAAAGGGGAAGAAGAAGATCGCCATAAAGAGAAGAAGAATGTTAGAAGAAGAAAAGAAGAAATGCTGCATGGCGTTAGGAGTGAGGAAAAGGAGGAGGAGGAGAAGAAGAAGAAGAAGAAGAAGCAAATAGTTAAAGAACAAAGAGAAGAAGAACAAGGCTAGGAAGAAAAGAAGAATGATCAGAAAAAGAAAAAATGATTTGAAGAAGAAAAAAAGGAGGAGGAAAAAGAAGAAAAATGATTTGAAGAAGAAAAAGAAAGAATGATCAGAAAAAGAAGAAAATGCTAAGAAAGGAAAAAGAAGAAGATAGAAAAAGAAAAAAGAAGAATGTTAAAAAAAAAAAAAGAAGAAAAATGTTAGGAGGAGGAAAAGAAGAATGAGGAGGAGGAAGAAGAAAATGAAGAAGAAAAAAGAAGAAATGATCAGAAAAAGAAGAAAATAGAAGAAGAAAGAACGCTGATCAAAAAAAAGAAGAAAATGATTTGAAGAAGAAAAAGAGAATGATCAAAAAAAGAATGTTAAAAGGAGGAAGAAAAAAAAGAAGAAGGAGGAAAAAGAAGAAAATGAAAGAAGAAAAAGAAGAATGATCAGAAAAAAGAAGAAAATGATTTGAAGAAAAAAAGAAGAATGACTAAAAAAGAAGAAAAATGAGAAGAAGAAAAGAAAAAAAAAAAGAAGAAAATGATCAAGAAAAAGAAAAGAAAAAAGAATGATCAAGAAAAAGAAGAATGATCAAAAAAAAGAAGAAGAAAAAAAGAAGAAATGATCAAGAAAAAAAAGAAGAAAAAATGATTTGAAGAAAGAAAAAAATGAAGAATGATCAGAAAAAAAAAGAAGAAAATGAAAAAAAAGAAGAAAATGATTTGAAGAAGAAAAAAGAAAAAAAGAAGAAAATGAAAAAGAGGAAGAATGATCAGAAAGAAAAAAAAAGAAGAAAAAGAAAAAAAAAAGAAAAAATTTGAAGAAGAAAAAGAAGAATGATCAGAAAAAAAGAAAAAAAGATTTGAAGAAGAAAAAGAAGAAAATGATCAGAAAAAAAGAAGAAAAATGATTTGAAGAAGAAAAAAAGAAGAATGATCAGAAAAAAAAGAAAAAATGATTTGAAGAAGAAAAAGAAGAATGAAAAAAAAAGAAGAAAAATGATTTGAAGAAAAAAAAGAAGAATGATCAAAAAAAGAAGAAAAATGATTTGAAGAAGAAAAAAGAAGAATGATCAGAAAAAGAAGAAGGAAAAATGATTTGAAGAAGAAAAAAGAAGAATGAATGATCAGAAAAAAAGAATGATCAAAAAAGAAGAAAAAAAGATTTGAAGAAGAAAAAAGAAGAATGATCAGAAAAGAAGAAAAATGATTTGAAGAAAAAAAAAGAAGAATGGATCAGAAAAAAAAAAATGATTTGAAGAATAAAAAGAAGAAGAAAAAGAAGAATGATCAAGAAAAGAATGATCAGAAAAAAAGATTTGATAAGAAGAAAAAGAAGAATGATCAGAAAAAAGAAGAAAAATGATTTGAAGAAGAAAAAGAAGAATGATCAGAAAAAAGAAGAAAAATGATTTGAAGAAGAAAAAGAAGAATGATCAGAAAAAGAAGAAAATGATTTGAAGAATGAAAAAAAAGAAGAAAAATGATTTGAAGAAAAAAGAAGAAAAAAAAAAGAAGATTTGAAGAAGAAAAAAAGAAGAATGATCAGAAAAAAAGAAAAATGATTTGAAGAAGAAAAGAAGAATGATCAGAAAAAAGAAGAAAAATGATTTGAAGAAGAAAAGAAGAATGATTTGAAAAAAGAAAAATGATTTGAAGAAGAAAAGAATGAAGAAAAAAATGATTTGAAGAAAGAAAAGAGAAAAAAAAAGAAGAAAATGATTTGAAGAAAAAAGAAGAATGATCAGAAAAAGAAGAAAAATGATTTGAAGAAGAAAAGAAGAATGATCAGAAAAAGAAGAAAAATGATTTGAAGAAGAAAAAGAAGAATGATCAGAAAAAGAAGAAAAATGATTTGAAGAAGAAAAGAAGAATGATCAGAAAAAGAAGAAAAATGATTTGAAGAAGAAAAGAAGAATGATCAGAAAAAAGAAAAAATGATTTGAAGAAGAAAAAGAAGAATGATTTGAAAAAAAAGAAGAAGAAAAAAAAGAAGAAGAAGAAAAAGAAGAATGATCAGAAAAAAAAGAAAAATGATTTGAAGAAGAAAAGAAGAATGATCAGAAAAAGAAGAAAAAAAATGATTTGAAGAAGAAAAAAAAGAATGATCAGAAAAAAAGAAGAAAAAAAAATGATTTGAAGAAGAAAAAGAAGAATGATCAGAAAAAAGAAGAAAATGATTTGAAGAAGAAAAAAAGAATGATCAGAAAAAAGAAGAAAATGATTTGAAGAAGAAAAAGAAGAATGATCAGAAAAAAGAAGAAAATGATTTGAAGAAAAAAAGAAGAATGATCAGAAAAAAAGAAAAATGATTTGAAGAAGAAAAAAGAATGATCATCAGAAAATGAAGAAGAAAAAAAGAAAAAAAGAAGAAGAAAAAAGAAGAATGATCAGAAAAAGAAGAAAAAAATGATTTGAAGAAGAAAAAAAAGAATGAAGAAAAAAGAAGAAAATGATTTAAGAAGAAAAAGAAGATTTGAAAAGAAAAAATGATTTGAAAGAAAATGATCAGAAAAAAGAAGAAAAAAAAGAAGAAAAAAGAAGAATGATCAGAAAAAAGAAGAAAAATGATTTGAAGAAGAAAAGAAGAATGATTTGAAAAAAAAGAAAAATGATTTGAAGAAGAAAAAAGAAGAATGATCAGAAAAAGAAGAAGAAAAATGATTTGAAGAAGAAAAGAAAAAAGAAGAAAAAAAAGATTTGAAGAAGAAAAAAGAAGAATGATTAGAAAAAAGAAGAAAAATGATTTGAAGAAGAAAAAGAAGAATGATCAGAAAAAGAAGAAAAATGAAAAAGAAAAGAAGAATGATCAGAAAAAGAAGAAAAATGATTTGAAGAAGAAAAGAAGAATGATCAGAATGAAAAAAAGAAGAAAAAATGATTTGAAGAAGAAAAAGAAGAATGATCAGAAAAAAGAAAAAAAGAAGAAAAAGAATGAAGAAAAAAGAAGAAAATGATCAAAGAAAAAAGAAGAAAAAAGAAAATGATTTGAAGAAGAAAAGAAGAATGATCAGAAAAAGAAGAAAATGAAAGAAGAAAAAGAAAAGAAGAAGAAAAATGATTTGAAGAAAAAAAGAAGAATGATCAGAAAAAGAAAAAATGATTTGAAGAAGAAAAGAAGAATGATCAGAAAAAGAAGAAAAATGATTTGAAGAAGAAAAGAAGAATGATCAGAAAAAGAAGAAAAATGATTTGAAGAAGAAAAGAAGAATGATCAGAAAAAAGAAGAAAAAAAATTTGAAGAAGAAAAAGAAGAAGAATGATCAGAAAAGAAGAAAAATGATTTGAAGAAGGAAAAGAGAATGATCAGAAAAAAGAAGAAAAATGATTTGAAGAAGAAAAAGAAGAATGATCAGAAAAAAGAAGAAAAATGATTTGAAGAAGAAAAAGAAGAATGATCAGAAAAAAGAAGAAAAATGATTTGAAGAAGAAAAAGAAGAATGATCAGAAAAAAGAAGAAAAATGATTTGAAGAAGAAAAAAAAGAAGAAAATGATCAGAAAAAAGAAGAAAAATGATTTGAAGAAGAAGAAAAAGAATGATCAGAAAAAAAGAAAAAAATGATTTGAAGAAGAAAAAGAGAATGATCAGAAAAAAAGAAGAAAAATGATTTGAAGAAGAAAAAGAAGAATGATTTGAAAAAGAAGAAAATGATTTGAAGAAGAAAAGAAGAATGATCAGAAAAAAGAAGAAAAATGATTTGAAGAAGAAAAGAAGAATGATCAGAAAAAGAAGAAAAATGATTTGAAGAAGAAAAGAAGAATGATCAGAAAAAGAAGAAAAATGATTTGAAGAAGGAAAAGAAGAATGATCAGAAAAAGAAGAAAAGAAGAAGAATGATCAGAAAAAAGAAGAAAATGATTTGAAAAAAAAAAGAAGAAAAATGATTTGAAAAAGAAAAGAAAAATGATTTGAAGAAAAAGAATGATTTGAAAAAAAAGAAAAAATGATTTGAAGAAGAAAAAAAGAAGAATGATCAGAAAAAAAGAAAAATGATTTGAAGAAAAGAAGAAGAAGAAAAAGAAGAAAATGATCAAGAAAAAAGAAGAAAAAAAGAAGAAAAAAATGATTTGAAGAAGAAAAAGAAGAATGATCAAAAGAAAAAAAAGAAAAAAGAATGATTTGAAGAAAAAAAAGAAAAGATCAAAAAAGAAAAGAAGAAAAATGATTTGAAGAAGAAAAAAGAAGAAAAAGAAAAAAATATCAGAAAAAAGAAGAAGAAAAAAGAAAAATGATTTGAAGAAGGAAAAGAAGAATGATCA